CTCCCTGGTCCTGCTGGCCACACTATTTCTGATACAAGCCAGAATGCCATTGGCCCTCTTGGCCACCTGAGCACACTGCTGGCTCATGTTCAGCCGGCTCTCAACCAGCACCCCCAGGTCCTTTTCCACCGGGCAGCTCTCCAGCCACTCCTCCCCAAGCCTGTAGCATTGCATTGGATTGTTGTGACCCAAGAGCAGGACTCGGCACTTAGCCTTGTTGAACCTCATACAATTGGCCTCGGCCCATCGATCCAGCCTGTCCAGATCCCTCTGTGGAGCCTTCCTACCCTCCAGCGGATTAACACTGCTGGCCAACTTGGTGTTGTCTGCAAACTTACTGTGGGTGCACTCGATCTCCTTGTCCAGATCATTGATAAAGATATTAAACAGAACTGGCCCCAATACTGAGCCCTTGTCCCTTAACTTTCCTTTTACGCATCATCCTAGATACAGAAAAAACTCAAAGGTCTGCTGGAATTACTTAAGTTGTGGTTATACATTTGGCATCAGTCATGTTTCTCCCTACTTCAGCTGCTTATTCCTATTCACAAATGCCCATTCTGTTATAGCAGCATCCGTTTCTGCAATCACATGGCAAACCATGTGGAAAATTAATTACTTTCAGAAAAATCAGTATCTTCATCCAGGCCATGGTGCAGTTTCAGAAACAAGGTCAGTGGCTCAATACAACAGGCAGTACAGCTGCAGGAATGAATGGTCAGGAGTAAAGGCTACATATACCAGCTTAAGCTAATAAAGAAATAAACAAGCAGCTACAGGTTGATTCTTAGGCATTCTTCTAAGATATACAAAGTTACAAAAGCATTGAAAGATGTGAATCATCAAGGTTATCAACACCAAAGATGACTTACCCCCATCACCTTACCACGTTGTTCAACATCTTCCCACATGCAATGAACTATGTAGCGACACATGTATTTTCCTGTGCGACCCTCCTGCTTCATTCGTACCAGACACATCCTGCAAGAACATAAAGACCAAATTCATAGCTTCTAGTTTTTCTTCAAATGTAAAGAGTAAATTACATGTATTTCAGCTCATTTAAGATTCTCCTTACAGTATGTGTTTTTGTGATCAGGAAGAGACCACATACAAAGATTTTTTATATTTTTTTAAAATAAACTATCACAAACTTTTCTATTCTGTACTCAAGAGCTGTATCTGCTGGATTTTGGCCAATCCAGCTACGAAGAGTGACAGTGGACTCTATTCTGGCTGACATGCTGTAATCTAGTTAAACAGTACTGCAACCTGAATTCCTCAGCTTTAAGAACATATCACCCTTTGGAGCAGGAACAAATGTCTTGTCTAATCCTAGGCTAGAAGCCAGTCGTAATTCAGCTTGGTATACTAAAGTGCTGTAAGAGTCTGAACTAGCCAAGCTGTGAAAGCTTAAGCAAGTTACAGACTTCACCGAAATTTACATTAGCAATGTCCTAAATTATTTCAGCTACAGGGGTCTTTGGATACGTGTCCAACCACCTGGCAAAACCCCTACATGCAATACATGCTAGAAGAACTCACAAGTTTGTAAGTGCATTGTGGGATCTTAATAAGAATACCAGGTTGAGTTGCTTTACTTTTTTTTTTTTAAGCATTAAAGCCACTTGAACTTAATTGCTGCTGTTCTGTCTAAAAAATAGATCAGAACGAAAATTTTATTTTGCCTCTTTTACAAAACTTATTGCCAGCAACGAGTCACAGAGACAAAACAAACTGAAGGTAACAAAAACTGCATTAGTCCTATATTCTTTTTTCTGATTAGAACCATACATTTAAGTCCCATACAAGGACAATTCAACTGAGACACCAAAATTGAAAGAAGAAAAGCCCGTAAACCAGAATCTGATTTCTAGATGGAGAGCTTCTGAAAATTACACTGGCCATACGAGAGACAGCTCGGGCTCCAACACAAGCCAGGTGGGACAGGATCAGAAGACCGGAGAGAGGGACTGAGGCACGACACGCAGACCAACGATCAAAGGGTGGAGTGACCGAGGGAATCTGGGTAGAGGGTGGGCAGGGAAGGGGAAGGGCAGCAGTCAGCCAAGGGAACATTGGGAAGACTGTGGCAATTTCTGTCTCATGAAACAGAGCTGTGTAAGGATTCCCAAGGTTTATATTGTGACAGTGACAACTCTGTATCTGTCCAACAGCACCGCTGTCCCAGCAAACAAATGCAATTAAGTATCAAGAAATGAATCCTCATCTTGCTCATAGACAGATAACAAAGGTTTCTGCTAAAACAGTGGACCAGAACTCAGAGAACAGCGGTCCAGTTACCAGTCCTTCCACAAAACAAACACACAAAGTGCTTAAAACTTCTGCGTTGTAAGACAGTTTCAAAACCACCAGTTTCAAAACCTTTGTTCCTCTTGTGCATCTACATAATTGAGCTGTATGAAAGAGTTAATTAGTAAGAGTTACTGTATCCCAAATTTTCACCCACTCTCAACAAGTCAAAGAGAAAAAGACTAAGTTTAAAAGACTAATTTTGGGCTAAGAAAAGCATTTTTATAGTTCTCTTGCTGAATACGCAAGCTCGGGGGGGTGGGAAGAGTGGCTTGGCAAGAAAACCTCCTCCCGAGCATAAATACTGGTTCCTATCCAGTCTGCCTTCAGTGGTGGTGAGGCAGGAGGAGAAAGCAGTGCACAGACCAACAGCTAACAATTGGTCACTGATGAGCAGGACTGGAGCGGTGTTCAGAGTAAAACCTGCTACCCACAACGCCTAAAAGGCAGCTCTGTGTTTGGATGCATAGTGCTGTCACAGAGCTGATCTGCAGCACCATGAGTGAGATCATGGAATTTTGCAGTTTATTTGAAAATTTGGTAGTTTGTTACTACACCTGCCGTCTGAGGTTTAAAAGACACAGGCTCTTTAAAGACTATAAACCTTCTAAATAGAACAACACAGGGTGAAACATTTTATCGTTTCACTACAGAATCTGTTCTGTAGTTTAGTCAAATACTGACTCATCTTTGTCAAACCATGAAAGCAAAATTATTCCAAACTACCTTTAGAAAGCTGTCTACCTGACATTGGTTGTGTTGGATAATTTATGCTATTTAAATTATGCAGAGAGATTATGTTAGAAGAAAATTATATGAAAGGATGCCTGAAAAGGAACAGGAGCACCTATAACTTGACCCATCTTAGATGCGATGTAGCAGTTTCCCACAACAGCCTCAGCTACAACTGCTTCTGTCAGTATTCCCACAGCACCAACAGACTGGCTTAAATGCCAGAAGCAGTAGTTGACACCACCCTGTCAACTGTTGTGAGGCAGCTCAGTGCCATGCAATCAAGATGTGATGATGCATTATACTTCTAAGGGCAAAGCCCACTCAGTCCCTCTTCCTCAGCTGCTCCAGAGCAACTATTTCTGGGGCTATGTTACACCCGTTCAGAAAAATTACTCTGGCTTAACACCGCAAGTATCAACAGCAATTTTGGAAAGCTTTATTCTGTTTAACCCCTTCACAAATGGCCAGCAACCTGGGGGACGGAAGGAAGCTCCTGAATCGACTTTGTTATCAGCCAGATGTCGTGACATACACTTCTATGAATAATGGTAACAAGCAGAATTCTGAACTCTTCCTAATTAGGTTTGCATGTTATCCTGTGCCCCAGCCTAGCAAGTTCACCAACTACTGTATTTACAGACATGTACAGGTCTTTGCTGGGGCACAAGCTAACAACCAAGCCTGGCTGTGCAGTCTTCCTCTCCCCTGGTGCCTTTGCTTAGGCCATGTAGCCCACTCCCTTGTGTTAAGGCAGGATCAACTAAATGCCTAAGACATCCACATAAACTTGTTCTTAAAACCTCTCTCAAGCAAGACTCCTCTGATGTAATTTAAACCCCTTTCTCCCTGCTGTCTCTACCATGAAACACAGAGTTTATTCCCTTTCTGCTGAAGCAGCACTTTTCAAAATGGTATGGTATCCTCAGTCTTCTCTGTGCAAATCTGAGAAATCTTCTCCTGCAGGAACTCTTTTCTACATACTAGGTGGTTCTTGTTCTCCTCTGGACTCTCTCAGACTGATCAACACTTTCTCAAGTGCAGATTTCCTTATGAAAAACAATGCTCAGATGAATTCTTGCAACAGATCTTTGAGTCTTTCAGAACAGGAATTGTAGCACCACTCTATTTTGATCCTAAATACTTCAGAGATGTCACCATACTTGGCGTGGTAAAAATATGAGGGGAGATCTAGGTATCTCCATGATACATCCTGCACTGAGACATTTCTTAGTACAGTCACCAAAGTCATGTCTTGGGCAGTTTCATAACAGCTCTGGACACAGTCAATACTCCATTTAGACTGCCACTGCACAGGAAAAGGCAAACCCAGCAGTGGAGATGAACAGCTTGAGATTTTCTAAAAGGTGTGGACTTCTAAACATAAAGAAAGAATCCTCCTGACATCAAAGGTGTGAAGTAACAGAAATGGCCTATAAAAACATGACATTCAGGAAAGAATATTGATAGGTTGATTTTCTAAAGTATAATTTTAGCACTGCATTGGAAAGCACTGGAATGTATCTAAAGGAACATTATCTTAAAAGAAGTTAGCAAAAGCAGAGGCTAAACACAAGAGCTTGAATTTCCCCCCTTTTTGACTGGAGGTAAGTAAGAAAACTCTGTTCACAGACAAGAAGAAATAAGAGCCAGAGGTTCAAACAGAGGACCCACCAGAATCTGTAGCACAAGAATGTATGCTCTGACAAATACCTTAAGTCTATAAAAGGTGGGATGCAAAAGTACAGAAATACATATGACTGGAACATGATGGGCAATGACAACAGGAAGAAAGGAGGCCGGGTTTACCAAACTAGGAAAAATTCTCATCTTCTCTAGCTCCAGAATACACTCTAAATCAGTGGAAACTAAAACTCTGAAGAAGAGGGAAGAAGTAAGTACACCAGAGAGTAATCTAGACTGCATTGCAAGGGGGAACACAAATACTTTAATAAATGGTGATCAGAATCTACACGGTCAGGTCATTGGCCACCAGATCAAGGGGGTTTCTAGCCTCTGGGGCAAAAGGTCCAGCAGGAAAGACAGAGGTATTGGAGTCTTCAGACAGGGGTAGGATGTTCTTGACCTTGCCAGAGCTAGCAGAATCAATAATGTTCTGCTCCCACTTAACTGAGGTCAAACTGATTAAAGAAAAGAGAATCACAGAGAACACAGCAATAAACCTGACTGTGAAAGCAAAATTATGTCACGGCAGGATCCTGGTCACTGAGCTTATCACAAGCAAAGCCTGCAGCATTTCTCAGTCACCCAGGTAGTGAGCAGGCCTATCATGGGCTTCTCTGTATCCTGGAATATCAAACTGGATCTCTCATTTCTGGTCCAGAACGACAGCACTCCTTAGGTCAAGCTGCGAGGAGGAGCCAGGCACATAAACCTTGGAAAAACTGACCTTTAGTGCTAACCTCCACACTCAAATTGTCATTGCTGTCATACAAAGTAGAGGGATTTGGTTCCTTCCTGCTTGTGTAGCATATTGCTGTCAACCTGTCCACCATATCTTAAACATAGTGTTTTTTTTTTCCCCAGATACTTACAAACAGTTTGGTTTTGAATATTTATTGCAGTAGTTTTCCAAATATTTATATGAATGATTAGCTTATCAATTTTTAAAGCCTGTTTTCCACAGGGAACAGTAAGAAATAAATAACCTGCAAATCTCGAGGGTCTTCCTTACTTGATTCCACTGATTTCATTAACTGATTATAATTTCAATGGTTCTGCTAATTTATTCATTCTTTAGTGAAATGAGCTGCCCCATCTTTCAATATATTGAGGAGACAGGAAATTAAAAGGAGGGAAGGGGAAAAAAAGGAGGCAAGGAAATAAGGGGCCTATGCTTAAGTGCAGTTATTTCAGTACAAACTTCCTTTCAGCCTTTGGATAGCTGAACCCAAGTCTATAGACTTCAGTTTCCTGAAAGATCTGGCACTTAACAAAAATTACTGTACTCCCTTGTGCATCCCTCTGACCTTTACAAGTATGTAATGCTAGATGAAAACCTGATTTTTTTGGCTACTATTTTCACAAATGAAAAAAAGGAAAAAACTTAATGTCTAAGGTGTTAAATATTTTTACATGTAGCCAAGCTGGCATTCACCAACCTGGATGTACGTTTCAGAGGTGCAAGAATAAATGCCAATGCTATAATTTGTTAAATGCTTCTGACGAGCAGCAACTTCAATCACCACAAATTCTCCCAATTTAAACCACTTTTACATAAATTTAAACTTTTCCTAAAACACCCAAGTAAGATTTTTCCACATAGGCTGAGCAAGGCTTTTAGAAAACTCATGGCAAAGATCATTCCACTACTGAGGAATTAGAGATGTAAAAGATGTTAGCTTCCCTATTGGACTTTTTGTTCTTTACTAGAAAACTGCTAAAATTCAGTAATTAGTAAACTGAAAATAACCACTATTAATAATAACCACGGACCCTACTTCTTCTCACATTAAGGTACATATCACTCTATTTCCTGAAAATAGTTATATTACTATTTTACCTTTCACTTACCAGACATGAAGCTGGGCTACTAGAAACCATGAATTCAAAGTATCAGGCATTTGGCACCCTTGATGGGAGGGGGAAAAAAACACAAAAACAAAGCTAAATATTAATATGAATTTCATCACAGGTTTGCACCTAACAGAAATTCACTACACCAAAATCTAAATACTAAATCTAAATTTTCATAATTTAGTTTCTGGCCCTAAACAGTACATACATATCAGAAGCAAACATCATTTACTGTCACACTTGTGCTTAAACTCTGGAACATGCAGCCACAGAATGCTGTAGATTCCGAAAGATTTCATGTGTTTAAAAGTCATTTAGGTAACATTTACGGGGGGAAAAAAATTCCAAAATGGACAATTAGACAAACATGTGGCTTCCAGCTCAGGAAGTCCCAAAGCAGAAGAGAATAACAGGGAAGTATCAACAGACGCTTCGCTCCATTCTTACACTCTTGCTTTAACATGTGCTGTTGCCTCCTGCCAAGGACAGAATACTGTGCTAGCTGGGTCTTTGCTCCAACTCTGCTGTTCTGATTTACTACATGGCTGTACAACCCACAGCACTCTGAGCCTCTAGCCATTCTACATTAGGATTAAAACCACCAACCAACCACAGAAACAACTTCTGTTTCCAGATTTAGCTCTACTCTGATAGCCACTGGGTTTCCCAGAGATGGTTTGCCCATATGCATGTTCACACTATGGATCTGCATGTGCCTTTAGGATGTGAGGCTGGAGATTTAGACTATGAGGCACAGAAACCATATTCCTCCTCCTTATGCTTGAAAAGCATGGACCTATGGGTTATGTGCACATTAAGTCCTTCATTTCCTGTCAGTCTTAAACCTTCCTCCTAGGAAGTCACCTCTATGTCTGCTTCCTGGAGAAGTTTCTAAGAGGAGTACCTAATGAGAAGGATCAGTCACCCTGGCCTACCCAGCACTTGGTCTTGTCTTCTGGACTGTTCAGACCTAGCTGCAAGAAGGCCAGAGGGTATTCAGAACTGGACTCTCCAGTCAGATGTGCCCGAAGGAAGTCAACCTTATCTTGTCTGTGTTGAATATATTCCTTCCTGACTCCTATACTTCTTGGCTCTCAAGTATTACCAAGGAGATTCACCTGGATCATGAAGCAATACTTTTCACAGTCTCCTTCTTTTTATATGCCAACTATGGTCAGGCAACCACCAGAAGAACCAAGTAAATCATCACTATTCCTCCCTCCTCAGAGAGATGACTCCATCAGTGCCTAGGAGGTGCCAAGCTTCATCATTCATACATCACCTCTGCCACCTCTAAGACAGTATAAAGACACTAACAGTCTATGTTTGGAGATTAAACACAAGTTTCCCTCACCCTTCTCCCCTTTTGGCTCTCTCATTCCTATTAGAAATAGTTCCCGTGCCTAGAAATGACTACTTTGACCTAAAGGCATGCCAAGGTATCTCTAACCAGGTCAAGAGTACACAATGCTTGCATTAATCAAACCATTTCATTAAATGAAGGTTCCACAGGCAAGATTCAGAGTAAAACACTTAGTCAACAGACAGAGGTTTCTGAAGTAGAAGTTACCACGTATCAGTCTCCCACCACAGAAATCACTCTTCAGTGGAAACCAAAGCTCACACCTCTACTACTGGAAACATGGAAAGTTTTTAAAGACCTATTCAGTACCCAGGAGGGAAGAATTTTTTCTTTAACTTTCCAAGTGTTGCACTTCTATTTTTATAATTCATTTTTTAACTTCTATATTAGGACTGTCTACATCGCAAATTTAAAGGAGGGATGGCTCCTTTAAAGCAAAAAGCTTGCCCTCAGATATCAGCTTTTTAAGAGGAATGTAATTCTAAAATTTGGGGGTTTGGAACACCTTATTCTGGGAAACTAACTGGGGAGAAAGATCCATCCTATAATTAAACAGAAAATTATTCCATTCAGAATACAGTTAGATACAGAAAAAATGTCTGATGGTAAAGCAACCTATGAAATTACTGTGATTATTATCAGCTGGGGAATAAATCTATTATGCCTACAGAATACACCCTGTTCACATGTCTGCGTCCAGTAAGAGACATGAATGCTCAGGATTATGACGACATACCTCTTCCTCCAGTAATATTCTGCACTTAAAATTCATCAGGTAAGGGATGCGAAACTTGAACAGGGACTTTCTTTTGTGATAGGTCATCTTTGCCACTACCACAATTCTGGGAAGGACGCAATGGGATAATACCCCTACGTCCTGCAAAAAAACAGGTGCACGACGTCACTGTTCCCCTGAACATGACAGATAGCAGCAAGTACCTATAAGGCACCTGATGGGCTAAGGGAGACAGAAGAATCCAGACTCCTGTAGGTAAACTCCAGCCCTTTCGAGCTGCTTGGCAGCCCCACAGGAGCCATCTGAAAGGCTGTTTTGATAGGGTCAGCTCTTTACTACTGCAGCTGCATGACAATTAACAGTATTAACAGTTCAAGATGAATTCAAGGTAACGCTACACTCCATATTCATCAGACAAACTTCAGCTCAGCTCTCAGTATCACCAACCTGATCCTAAGAGCTCTTTTGACCTTTCAAGTATAAGGTTAGGCATGAAACACTCTCCTCACAGGTGGCTACTTCCTTCATTTTGTTAGAGCTACCCAAGCTCTGCAAGCTTTGTGCACAGAATGCCTGGCACCTCTGATCTTGCTACTCCCTCTACTACTTCTCTGTTCTCCTTTAAACAAGAAACAGCTGAAGTCCTAAAACAGCTCCACTTCCCATACAAGCAGCACAGTACAGACATTTGGGATGTAAGCTCTAAAGCAGAGTTCCCAAAGTTTTGTCCATAGATGATCACAAAACAGAGAGACAACAGAATGGCAGGTATAAGAAAATGAACTGCAGTGTGATACTGGAGAGTCAATTAAAACATCTCTTTTATATACTACAGTGGCCTCATGACTTGCATATCCATAGTCCATGTTTTGGGAACTGCTGTTCTAAGACATAGTACAGAGAAAGCCAGTTCACAGGGCTCATGCTGGCTAAAGAAAGTCTCAGAAATCCCCCCAGGTATCAGCAGAAATGCATTGAGATTGCAAGATAGCCTATAAGACATGAAAGGCTATCATTATACTAGTCCTCAACACCATACTATCCTGCCTTTACACTCTATGTCGCCTCTGTCAGAGCACTACCTGACAAAATCCACATACCAATCCAAGTTCCATAAGGTCACGTTGCAGTTGTTATTCATGCCACAACATAACCACATCACCGAAGCACGTCCAGAAACACTGAAGAAGGCTCTATGAAGAACTGGTTCTGACCACACAGTGTTAGTTAGCCCAAAAATGGTTCTACACATGCATGGATATACACTTTCCAAGGCCAGCTCAGTAGGTTAACAACTCTCACAAATGGCAAAGAAAAAACTAATAAGCTCTCCAGAGACCAGAGCTGACTCTATGCAGTTCATTTGGATATCTCAACACCATGCAACTAGAGCCAGAAGTGCTGGGGGCAGCAAAGCATAAATACACCACTAGATCTACGTACAGCCAGCTTTGGCTCAGGCAGACCTGAGCTGGGTCCCATGCAGCACCATTACTACTCTTAGGGTTCCTAAGCAATGCAATTCATCATGTGGGTGTGCAGCACCCACATCAGCATAGTATCAGGCACACCTGTGCTTGCTGCATGACCAAGGGAAAGAATTAAGAGTTAGTTGCTTCCTGTTCCTACTGGTCCCCCAGGCTGCTTTTCTGGCAGTGAGCTGCAGTCCTGGCTTAAGCAATGCCCATTTCTATTTGAAAAAGGAGCAATTCAGAACACAAAAAAACCCCAGCTCCTGACTGACCTCGTTTGATGACAACATGGTGAATTGAACTAAAAGCTGGATATCTTGCTTCATGCCATGTTCCCCTCTCTTAATCCTGTACTCCTCACCATCTACTTTATGCCACAGCTGCTGTCCATCAGACCCTTCCATGCGCCACTTCAATTCACTAACACAGCAAAACAGTAAGTCAGTAAAAAACTGGGCCGCTTTCTTTCAGTGACTTAAACAGTTCACCAGAGGACATGATAATTGTGCAGTCCAGAACACAAGCAGAGGAAGATGGAGAAGTTAGCCTTTTCCCTTTGGCCACTACTTCAACTCAGCTGCCCACAGAACCACAGCCTAAAGCTCCTTCATTGGCAAAGTCAATTTAAAAGGTTCCCGCCCACCCCACACAGTCTGTGTTTTAGGAGAAATAGTTTTTAAACACGGCTCACGTGCCTGTTAAATTTGAGAGCTAATCCCCCAGACAGTTGCAGCTGTAAGTAGATAGAAGTAACAGAAACTTCTTATATCTGTCTTTATAGGAAAGCAATAACTTTTTTGGAACCACAACCATAGACAAGCCAAGACAGGCATTCTTGTAACACCAATGGGTGCATCACGCACTCTGTCAATCTCGGCAGGACAGCCTTGTTCCTTACGTAACAACGGTCTCAAGACAATGCAAACATAGGTTTCCCTGGCTGTAAATTCAGAGATGGACTGGCTACAACTTGTACCACAGAGGAAAAAAGACAAAAGAAGCAATGAGGACATTCTGGAGAAAATTGTAAAACTTGAAGGCAAGGCTGCCTGCTGTTTCTGATATGTTTAAAGTGAGGGGGAGCTCTGGGAATTTTCTCTCTAAAACAGTAAGACAATATCAAGAATACAACTGAAGTCATTTTACTCAGTATTGAGCCTGAAAATCTGTGCCAGTATCTTTTTCACAGACATGCTTTGAAATTCCTTTAAATTTTTATCTAGGGCAACATTTATATAGCCTTGTACAATTAACTTGTTAAGCAGAGATAGTGAAAAACCAGTTAAAAATAGCAAAGCCTCTATTTGAGAGGCAAATATGACAAACAGAAGAGAACTTATCTGAGAAAGTCTGAGAGGGCACACAGCTGGGGAGAGGTGTGTGCACAGGAAAAATGAGGTTCTAATTTTTTCATCACTAATGATGAATCCTGCTGCTCAGAGAGTTCTCTCACTCCTGCAACCGCTGAAACCACATCACAGTTTTGGAAAACCTTCTGAAAACCACTGGAAAATCTTGCAGCAGCAACACCATGTACCAAACCACCCTCAATAAGCTCTGCACTAGATGAACACACAAAGATGTCCCTTCAGCTGATCTCTCAAGAGGCGGCAGCCCCAACCTGTACTGGTGCATTGTAACGCCATAAAAAAGCATTTGGTAGCTCAGGAATTCAAGTGACAGGCTAGATCGAGGCAATGGGTTTACTACCAGCTAAATCACACCAACATAGGAAATAATTCACATAAGAATAAAATATTATTAAAGCTTATGTACGTCTCAAAAAACACATCTCCCCCATTCAAGCCAGATTTGATACTAGTAAAAACTGCAACAGGTTTTTTAGCTAATAGCTAAAAAAGCCATGTGCAACGTGGAAAAGCCATCCCAATTCAAGCCAATATTATTCCCATATACTTAAAGGAGGGAACTTGTGTCTCTCTTCTAGTCATACTCTCTATCCACTCAAGAGATGTGTCCTGGTTTAATGCTGTCATGGTCAGCAAAACACAGGAAGTCTCTAAGTTCTAGCCAAACCCACCCTGTGATCTAACTGACCCTGTGTCATAAAAAAAGTTGTGCATCAGTGGACGGAGATGGTTCTCATATGTGCATCCCAGTTATACTGGACCTTCTCACAGCTGGTCATGGGACAGGGTAGGACACAGTGGCCATCTGACCACAGTAAAAAAGGAAGAGATACCTGGATTCTGAGTTTATCCCACCTCTGCTAATAAAAAAGGCAATATCCTTCAAAGTCCAGGATATTCTGGGTTTTACCTATCCTACCCTTGTTCTGCATTGCAGCAGGCAAAATGTGACATTCCCAGACTCCAGAGTGTGCCCTTGAACCCTTGCCTCTTCAGAGCTTAAGGGAGTGCTGTAGTGCAGACAGCTCCTGTTTGACCATGCACAGTTAGGGTCTGACAAGTCTTTTTGCTGTCATATTTATCAGTATAAATATATGTAATGAATTTTCATCAGAAGTTCTCTTACCAGGGCAATAGTCCAAATGACATCAAGTCCACTACTTACTGTTAAAAAATTCCTCGTAGTCAGTTTTCTCCACACAGCATGTGTACATGCGCAAAGCTGCTACCTTGATTTTCTAAAGAAAAAGAAAAGACAATACTTAAAGTATTCGTCATGAGAGCTAGTGAACACTACTGTTTTTGTTAAATACATACACTATCATTTTCTGAAAAGACTTCTTCTGAGAATCACAATCACTTGAGATTTTCAGAAGCACATTAAACTATTATATCTCCCAGGAATGACACAAGTATAATCAATCTTGCCTTGAGCCAAAAAAATGATTAAATGGCTTCTTGAATACCCTTCCAAATCTAGTTTAATATAATGTCATTACAGAAAAATAAAGGAAATGGCTTTCCTTACAGAGACTCCAAAGATCCCAATTCACAACTCCTGGTTTTCTCCAAAAACTTTAATTGATGTATACCACTCAAAGTGTTCTGTAGAATTTAAGTTTTAAATATTAAAGAAGTGACATACCAGATGTCCTAAGAATATCTTTTTTCCTACAAAAATGAAAATTGACCAACTAAGCTTCACAAGTGAGAAAGGAATCCCAAATGATGAATGACATGAGGTATACTCAGGTGCTTTGGCAGTTCTAATTTTGTTCTTGGCCTGCCATTCCACCAGAAACACCTTCAATGTATCATCTATAACAAAGATACACGTGCTGAAGCTTCAAAGAGCACAATAACTGATAGCAAAGATCTTAAAGAGCTGTCAGTGATTCCTGTTTACTAACATCACGGGGAGAAAAATAAAAAACTTTGAAAACTCCAGAGCCCACTCCCCTATCTAAGCCAGGAAGCAGCACTGGGTTTGGGTTGCTTTGTTTTATTATCTTTTCTTTCTTTTTATTTTTTTTTATTTTTAATGATATATACTAGGGATCATCTCAGTGCTCACTATACTACAGAGATGAGCACTACGCCTGTCAAATGGCACGTCAAATTACCAAAGTAATTATTTGTGTCTCCTCCAACCAAAAGAAAAATAAGGAAGTTGCAGCTGATTTCCTGCTGTGGAAACACAGGAGCCATTATTTTTCTTATTCAGTAATCTCAAGCTTCTGTCAAAAATCAAGTATACATCTAAACTTCTTGCAGTAAAATAATTTACACTCCTTACTGGAGTTCTGAAGGTTTCCTTTTTAAAGGAAACACTGCCTGGCCTGGGAGTAGAGATCTCCCTGGTGAAAGCCATTGCCCCAGACCAGGCATTACTAGACATTAAAAACATATTGTAAATAACAGTCCCTGCAATCCAGCCCTTAAATAAGGCAGGTAACACAGGAGAAACTGGTGAAATTTAATCATGGAAGTTTTAGGGTGTAGAAGAGGTGTGGGGGAAGGGAGAAGAAAATGGAAAAAAACAAGAGAAATATTAAGAAACTTCCCTAAGATCTCATAGAGAGCACTGGCAAGGCCAAAAATGAACTCGGGTCTCTTGGGCCCTAACCACAAAATAACTCTCTCCAAACCCAAGTTCGCTAGCCAAAAGCAGGCAGTAAAGAGTAGCAATTAAGGAGAACTCTGAATCAACACTTAGAGCTAACAAGAATCTTTATTACAACAATATGTACACAAACACATGGGAGAGAAACTACTCTCTCATGAGGTTTAGCATCACCCAATTAAAAGCAACTGATTTTAACCAAAATACCTAACCCCCTTAGTGTCAGTTATCTTTTCTTTATATTTTCTTTCTGAGGAGCAAGATGCAACCAGCAACAGTTTCAGATCAGTCTCGGAGGAGGTCCGCTCTACCTTGCAGATATTCAAAGCACCTTATAGGTTTTAATTCCTGCACAGTTGGGCTCAGCCCTTCCTTCAACATGCCTTTTCCTCTCACTCCTTTATATTGTGTCCTAGTTCAGAGCAAAGAAATCATGAATTTCATCTCTGTCTTCTTCCTTATGCATAAGGAACTGAAGGTGTCTCTTACAGAACTGCTCTCATTTACTCAATGTTAACAACTGCTTTTATTTAAAAAATGCGAAACAGGAGGACCTATTTGTGACTCTGCCCTATTCAGCTACTTCTGAACAGCGACTAAAACAGCAATTGTAACGTATCTCACTACTGTCCATTTGGGACACCCTCCTGTCACAGAAATACAGAACACTGAAAGAGGTTCAGAGAAGAGCAACAAAAATCAAAACATGAAAGAGTCTCAATAACAGAAACAAGTTAGACGAAGCCTGCTCAGTCCAGAGAAAGACTAAGATATTATGGAATATATGAGTCTATAAAATCATCAGTGGAAGGGAGAATGTGAACATACACTCCAAGGAAAGAATAATCACCATTTTTTTTAAGTACAAAATTAAAAGGCACCAACTGAAAACAACTGTACTTCTTTCCCCAGTGGGTACTCAAGCTATGGAACTCCCTGATATTGAATGCTATGGATGCTATAAACTTACAAGAGTTCAAAGTGCAACTGGACAAATTCATAGAAGAAAAACCCATTAATAGATATTACAGAAAAATGCCTAGTTTCATGCAGGAAGTCCTGAAACAGACAACTGTTGTAAACTGGAGGAGCACATGAAACAAGTATCATACTATGCTTTTCCTGTAATTAAATTCTTTCTAGATTACTGCAATTGGTCATTATTAGAGAGATGATGGTCTATACGGGTGTTTGACTTAGATCGTGAGGCTGTTACTGTGTTCTTTGGTGCACAAATGAAGTGAAAAATAAGATATCTGAAGAAATTCAAGAAGGCTTAAGACTCTACAAACCAAATACAATATTCCTACTTATGTCAATGATGGCAATACACAGATCGAGGGAGGTTCAAGCTATGGATTATTACTCCTCACATCACAAACCAGGAATTTACATGGGTAATAATTAGAACTTTTCCATTAAATACTGCTCCTATCATAAGAAAAAAAGTGTGGGTTTTTTGTTTGCTTTTTAGAACTCTGAAAGTATCAAACAACCAAAAGAATTATTAAATGAATGCTTTACCCATCTGCTGTACTTCAGTGGTCCTGTGAAACCCATTGCTTCTATTATCCTTGTGAAAGCACCCACTTTCTCTTCAGATGGCTGCATGGAATCTTTTGCAGAAAGATGCTGTAAAATGGAAATATCACATACTTCAGTTTTAACATTTACATCTGACAAATCATTGTAGTTAGAAAGCTACAAGTTTAATAGAGAATTTTAGGGGGTTTGTTCACTTACTTTGTTCAACAAAACAAATACATATTTAGGTCTTCTCTGCAAAATATTACACTTTTTCCTGGGTGACATTCTTCTGTTTATGAATGCAAACATTGCATAACTTTTTTGATAAAAGCATCCCATTGGAAGCTCAGGCTCCAATATTTTGTACAGAAACCTGCTTTCCAAAATACGGCTCCCATTCTAGATTCCCATATTATTTCTAGATGCGTCTTTACTTGGGCTTAAATATTTGCAGATAAAATGAGCAAACACATCACAGAAATAGAGTAAATAAAGCTAACCTTTCACATTCCCTCTCTTACTCTCACAGGCATATCATATTCTAGAGTAATTATATATTATATGAACAAATCAGCTCCGTCTTAAAACTAATGAAGCTACATGAACCCACCATTCTTACTGAAAAGCTCCCCCAGATTGTTATTCCCCCTACAGTTAATCTAAATGGTACTTGCTGAAAATCCAGATCAGGAAAGTATTTAGTCCTCAATGATTTGCAGTGTCTGCAAACACGAAGATAAATGTTCTCTTCCAGATTAACTACACACCTTAAACACCATTGGAGTGATAAGAAATCTTCGTGGCATTCTGCCTCTAAGCATCCTGGCAGTAGCAATCAGCCATCAGTAATTACCACTTGTACTCCAGCAAATAATTTCTAATGAATTAAGTATGCAGTACAAACATTTTGTTATTAACAAATTACTCTACTTTTAACCCATCTAACCAAAATCTAATGCATATGAATCTCCTACATATACTTGAGGAATACAGCTGAGAACCATTATAACCTGAGAAAGTTCTCTCATCAAAGAAATGTTCAATTGCTTTAAGTTGCTGGAATTTTACCCTAAACACTTCCCCCTAACACATGAACATACTAAGAAAATAATTGTCTTAGCAGGGAAGCAATTTAGCAACATAAGGATGGCCATACATGGCCAGAACAAACACTTAGACCAGGATGCCATCTCCAACATGGACCAGTAGCAGATACTTGGACAAGACACAAAAGCAGAGAAACATGGCACACGTGCCGCAGCTTCCTGGGGGGTACCTTGCCCAGCTTCTGACAGTCATTCCTGCAGTAGAAAAGGTATCCACACACTCATTTTTGGCAGCTACAACTGGATGCACCTTCAGCACCCCAGTGTTTGAAACTATTTAACCTCCATACCACACAGAGTCGTGGTACATGAGTTTCACAGTTTAGTTACGTAAAAAAAATTCCCTTGTGCCTGTTTTAAATCCAACCTTGCCATTTCATTGGATGCTCCCAATTTTCCTATAAGAAACTGCAAACAACCATTTGCTATTCCCTTTTCCAGTATCTTTTATGACTTTTATAGGCCAGTATCATACATGTGCCCATCAGTTATCTCTCCTTAGTTTAGAAGGGTCCTAGAATAGCCTCTTCTCATACGAATGATCACATTTCTGATCATTCTGGCTGTACTCTCTATAGCTTTCCTAGCACTAGTATAGTAATTTTTGAAATGGCATGAATGATAAATAAAGACATATTAAAATACAGACACATATCCTGCACAAGTTGCTATACTTAATTAAAAACTAACTGTAAAGGTGACAAAAATTGTAGCTTTGGGACATAATCAATCCCTATGTATATCCACACACAAGCTTTAGCATTTCAAATAAAATGCTTTGCCCTTGTGAACTGTCCATAGATGGCTATTAATGTCTTGAACCCCATCATGCCTAGTATTCAGGTAAATAGGAAGAAACATGCTCAGTGCCATTTTCATATCTATCAGTCACCTAGTAAGCCAGCATAACACTGTCCAAGACCTCCTTTAATACTCAGATCCTTGCTTTGAATGCTGACCATTAAACTTGTTCACCAAGTCCCCTATTATCATCCAGAACAAAAGCATCTGCAAAGGCACTTTCCTACTCTCTGCCACATGTGATGGACCCAGTGAGTCTACTGATGTGTATGTGAATATTTAAACCAATTTTTAGTACTTTCTCCTCAAGATTATCCCATGCAATACTCTTCTCCTCTGCACTAAATATGACACCTAACCTTACACCATAAGATAACTCCATAAGCCCCCCTCTAGCCAGGCAATGATAGGATATGCTCACTGCAGAACTTGTGTCCCAATAACCACTGCCAAACCAAAGTCAGTAAATCAACTTTCATCTCCTCCACAGGTATTAAAATCATACTAAACCCCCGAGTGAATCTAGGCAGATTAGTTTTACTACATGCTTCTCATCTACAAATGCACTATGAAGTCTCCCTCAGTATGGATTTTTCATTATGCAGAGAAAGTTAAGTTAAAAACCAAAATTATCTTGATTCAACTGTTGTTAGTTCATCACCAAAAAAATGATTGACTGGAAAACAGTCTTTTTGTAAGAAACGCCATGATTCTTGCTTCATTCTTCTGCAAGTCTGCCTGGACTAGCTCAGGAGATGGAGAGGGGATTTAAGCAGTGAGTGTTTGGTTCAACCTATGGATAGAGGTATGCAGTTCACCCTGCAAATGCTAGGACTGCAGCCAAATGCAATTAAACAGTCCTATAAGCGTATATAAAATCAGATATAGAAAACATATAGAGAAAACTTCAAAAATATGTTTTATAACTCACTCAGAACAAGATCATCAAGACACTGAAAGGGACATAAGCCCACCTCAGGCTGACTTTCCTGCTCAATACCTGAAATTCAGTGCTCAAAGCGAACAATCCTCTGAATTTTGACGCCAAATATAAAAATGAAACGATTGGAGCTCACTATTAATTCTAAACCAATTTCTCACCAGGAGTGCATAGTTAAGTTCACATTTCAAAGATGAGTAAGTATTTCTCTATTCAAAGTAATAAGGTTGCAGTCCAAAAACCTACCTCAAACCTTACCTACACTGCTGTAAACTGCTTCCTCTCTGGTCATAAATCCTGCCTGGCTTCTTACACCAAGGCTATTTTAACCAAGAAGTTTCCCGATTCATCTTGCAATTTCTGTACCCTTCCCCTAGCTCTTTCCAATACACAAAAAGCAAGTCTCTGACCCCTGCCTTGAAGATCTTCATGCCACTCCTGGGTTGTTAGATCTACCATCTTGTCATCCATTGCTCTCCCAGACCTGCTCTGCAAACGATGCTTGTGCAGGTATAGGAGGGGCGGCGCAGGCAGGCATAAGGACTAGGGGTATGCCCCATGTTTGAGAGCCTGGATTCTATACTTAGCTCTGGCCATGGTAAATTGTGCAAGTCATTTGTATGCCTCAATCTCTTTGTCTGCAAAATGTTTGGTTTACCTCACCAGTTGAAAAACACTGGAAAATTTACTAAAAAAAAGAAAACCTCTGGTTAAGAACTAGATGCAAAAGAGCAGCCAGGGGTTCTTTCCTTCCACACATCTTGTTTTCCTTCATTTTGTCCATCCATGTCAAAATAACCAATTTAAAATACTTCTTAATATTTACCTCTAGCTCTACACCAACAAAATACACAGTTAGGCAGACAGCAAATTGGGATTGTTGCTTTTATGCAAGTTTTACCCATCAATCCCTAACTTTCTTTTTCCTTCTGTCCTCTCATTTCTTGTGCACACATTCCATTTTGCCATTTTCTTCACATTGCATTAACAAGGGCAGGATCAGGATATTTATTAGTTGAGAGATGCTGACTGCCTTAGATTAAGTGCTAAACTAATCTTATGGAGATGATTCATGCTCCAGGAAACTTCTATTCCAAGACAAAAGACAATAAATGTAAGAGATGCAGAGGCCACAAATTAACAAAATAGTACAGGTGAACAGTAAACAAATTATTACACAATAATTAGTCGTTATTAGTAGATTGCATGACAATTTTCAGTGTTTAGCAGATAGCAAAACTGTCATTACACATTAGTCCCAAGCTAAAGAATCAGGAAACATCTTGCAACTTGTAATATGTATGGGCAACTTCCATATTTCCCTTTTTAAAAGTAAGAAAGGAACATGTCTCCCACCCTAATAACTATTCTCCTTGGTTTTTTTCCTCATTGGAAAGAAGCCCTTAAGCTTATAATTGGAAAATTCACCCCAAATATCCCAACTGTAGCTGCACCTTCCTGTGCTAGCACTTCATTTTCTAGAAAGGAACAGAGAGCACTTCTCAAATTATTGGATGCATTGTTCATGCTATACTAAAACATTTTATATAAAAGTTGAATCATCTCCTACAGGTTTTGAAAAGTGTTTTGTTACCTGTATCTGTATAATCCCTAGCACAATGTGCCCTCCGACAATAAAAACAGCAAACTTTTCTAACCTTATTTGTATTGTAAAACGATCTGTTTTGCTGTGTAATGGCTCCATTGGCTTGAATCAATCCACCACAGGAATTAGACAGTCGGAACTGGCCAGCCTTGCGTCTCTAGCAAAAATGATAAAAAAAAAAAAGAAAAGAAAAGAAGAAAAAGAAGAGACCATTGTCTAGTAAACAACTTTACCCCAATTACCCTTAGTTTGCTCCCCAGTCAATTACAGTTCAGTCTAATCCTGAAAAACTTTATATCACGAAAAGCACAAATTTATTATCATAACTGTTACAAATGAAATGGTTGTCCATGCTTAAGGCTCCACACCACACATTTTCTAGTGTTCTGTAAATGTACTGATGGAATGGAATGGCAGAACACTTCACTCTCAAAAAACACAGGCTATCTGCTTTGATTTTCTCACACACTACTTCTAATTATGGGTTCTATCTCTAAATAAAGAATAATTCTTTTTCCTGGTCTTGCAGAGAAACAGAGTTTATGCTATTTTTATCTACAACTTTATTGACCATTCAATTGTCCTTGTGGCCAGGACTTGAGCAAAACAAATTATGGGGTAAAAGGTATCACTACAGCCACTATAACTTCACAGCACGATTTATATTACAGAGCTACTGCACAATAAAGAAAACTACCAAGTAGGAGTGAGTGGTATCTCTAGGTAAGAAGCTGCACACCGAATAGAACATCTATCATAGCCTCCCAGTACACCCAGATTAGCAATAACTTGTTTATGAATAAATTCAGACAAAGTAAATATGCTGGTTTGTGCAGAGCAGTCATCCCCAGAAGTCTACCGAACCTACTGGTGGCTCAGAGTAAGCCCAATTTATCAATCAACTTCACAACTGCTCATTTCCCTCTCTACTCCCAACATTGTATGCTACTTCATATGGACTGGTGCCTTAATGGTATGGTTGTGTCACAAAAACACAGGCAATTTTCCCAGGACTGGAAGGTCTTATCTGAGAAAAGACATCCAAGCCAAAGAGCTTACAGAATTAGAAACTCACCTGTAAGTCATGGCTCTGTGATACAAGTTGTAATAAATAGGAGGACAAGGAAGAGGCTTAATCTCCGCTCGTTTCATTGTATGCAAGAAGGAAACACCAAGAGATACACTCTAATTCTATTCAGATAGCCTGCATCTATTCCCATTTTCTACACATTTTTCACCTCTTTATTATTAACTGCTATTACATGATGTTCTAGTTAATTTATTACGGATAGACACAATCTGACACTGCAGCAAAACTGCAAAGCGGTGCTTTCCACTGAAACAACACTACTTAATGTTGTGCTGTGCTAGGTAAACATGCCATAAGTACTAGAAAATCCCAGGCTACTGTAAAGTGGAGATGTTCTATAAAGTGCTGGAAATTACATGCAATCATGACTACCTTGTAATAGCTGCTTTGGAAAAAATGACACCTACATTTGGACTTCTGCATTTAATCTACTCACAACAGATCATTTGGATCCATTAAAAGACTACATAGCTGGAATGAAGACAACTGTGTAATAAAGAGTGGGAGCTCACCCTTTTAGCAGCAGAAAGCTTTTAAGTTGCCTTGATATTTCAGCAATACACAGACAGCGAAGACATCACTTTTGGAAGCTTCTTTGTTTGAAAACCATGACTTTTTCTTACTAATTTAAACTTATCCCATTTTTTACACACTTTAACATACTCTGATATCCTACCTGGAAAATACCAAAGAGCATCTGTCTACACTGGCCTTGGACTGCGGTTGTCTGTAATAATCCACTGCATGCTGCTATCCATTGCGTTACTCCAGTGTGGCAGCTCTGGAACAGAGAGACCAGCAATGAAGAGAAGGACCCTAATACTCAGACACAGTTTAACTGTCCTTCTGCTTCCACAAGTTTTACTCATTTATACAACAATCCTCAGATTAAACTCCCAACTTGCACTTGATAAATTTTGATTTTAAAAAAATCCTCCCTTCCAGTATAAGCATGCAACCCAGGTTTGATTGCAGAAACATATCAGGCAAAGGAAATAGTGGGCTGTCTGCATCATAAAACTAGACCACAATTTTTATATCTATACAATAAATTCAAATGCTTAAGCAGCATTCTTCAACTGAGTGATCTCTAATAAGCCCTCATCCAACTCTCAGCTTTTATGTATCTTTGTCGTACTTTACTCAGGCACAGCTAAGAATTTTAGTATTTCAAAAGCGTATATTATCCCAATAAATTTCAGTGAAGATAATTATTTTCTGTAATGAAAATGTCAGGTAATATGGAAAAGAGGTGAGGTTTTCTTTGCACCTTTCATTTTCTGCAATATTCAAGTTAGCGCATTTGCCTCCTTCATACATGTTCTACATGAATACTGGAAATAATGTATATATTATTAGAATGGATATGGTTTTTTTCTAATAAAAATAGCTTCATTTTCAATTGGCCACAAAGATGATACAGAGATTGAAGCATCCAACATATGAGGACACGTTTAGCTTTGAGAAGACTGCAGGCAAATCTTATCAATTTCTATAAATACCTGACGGGGTGGGCAGTCAAACTCTTCTTAGTGGTGCCCAGTGAAAGGACAACTATGAGACTAGCAAATCTGCCCAAAGACTAGGAGGAACAGACACAAAACCAACTTGAGTTCCTGTTCCCCGCTCCCTGTACCTGTACAGTCACTGCTGTCCCTCAGGTGCAGTGTACTGCCTCCTTGGCTCTCACAGAGCTGCACTTCTAATCCATTAAGGGAATTGATTTGGGTTTTTAAAAACTGCGGACAGAGGCACTACCTTAACAAATGTGATTAGTGTTCACTACTACACCTTTCCAATTCTACTGTAGTGAGACTACTTAGTTTCTGCTCTTTCTCTGTAACATCACTACCTAGCAAATAAAATTATGAAAATGATACATTTCTATCGAAAAAGACATTTCAGCTGAGTACCACAACGTACTTCTTGAGGCAATCCAGTGCTCTGACATAAACAGTTCAACAAACACTTAAGTGAGAAAGAAAATTCACCATTTTTAATAAATAATTACTGCAAGATTCCGAGGCATCTGACAGAATTTTTTTGAGGCTTTTTCTTCGTATTAAGAAGGAAAACATGCCTAGGTTGCAGTATGTCTTAGAGCTTGAATATACTGGGGTTTATAGCTGTTGAAAAGCACCACTGCAACAAAACTGAACAGAGACACATGAAAACATAAAATAAGCATCTGCACACTTAAAAGGTGAGATGTGATAAACAATCAAGTAATAAAGAAAAAGACAAATGCACAAAGCGGCAGAGCAACAGAAAGGCAACACGATGAGTTAAGGTATCTTCCCTAAGCCAGCATCACTGTTTGCAGAACACAACCTTCCTTTCAAATTACATGCGGTACTTTTATATCTCCACTTGGCCGAAAGAAAACGTACCAAGCACAAACTGAACAGGATTACTCAGGAATGGTCTGCAGACAGCGCAAGCACCTCCTGCAGCTAGCTGCCTTGTCAAGATACAGATGAAAGAATATCACTACACTTTTCTAAATCCTCCTGGCAACCATTAGGAAAGCCTTAGGTAGCAGACAAACTATTCATCAAGATCTCTTCTTAGGTAAAGAACAGCTTTATCATAATGGCAGTATTAACTAGTAGAGCTGAAATGTTTGGACAATAACCAGGACTGTGCCAAATGCTATGAGCTCCTGAGAAGGCTTGAAGACAGAAGAAAAAAAAAATTTCCTTTCTTATGTCAAGCACAAAAAAGAGACACTGAAAGTCTGAAGACTTATTCTCATACAATTAGACAGCTATTAAATTCTAATGCAAAAGCAGATGCTGGGAAATGCCAAGGATCAGCAAAGCTTGAGCTGAAGCATGTCGCTGCTGTCAGAAGTCCCCTGCCTCCCGACCGTGTACTCCCACCACCTACTACAGCCCATGTGCTTCTCTGATTACAAAGTAAGGCAATTCTGATCACAAAAACAGCAAACTACATCTCCCCTGCAAAGAGAAATTTTTCTGGCCAGGCTGGAAAGTTCAATCAGGTTACTTTGCCATATGAATGCCAGAAGCAGCTGAGAAAGGAGGAGCTGCCCAGGGACAGGTAAGCCGAGGAGACAAGTCCTTCACCTTCTGCAAGTTAAGTTTTCATTGCAAACCGCACCCTGGGGGTACAGCTCCACAGACAGCTGAACCCATCTGGTGACTCACTGCTTCTCTACCGCTCTCCCTGCTCCCCTCCTGCCCGGCTTCCCCCTCCCTTTCTGCTAGTGATTGCCTCTTTAACACATTAAAACTGCAGGAAACTATTTTTATGTTGCCACAGTTCTGCTGTTCCAGCATTTGGAGCATCGGGGCCAAGAAAAATGCTGGAGGAGGCAATGGTAGGCAACAATGCAAAAACATGAGCAAGGAGAAAGAGTAGGAATGGGAGGAGGAAGCAGGAACTCAAGCTCACTGCATTTCAATTGCTCTCAGGCAGGTTTGCTCTCACCTGATTTCAGTTTGAGAGCTGAAAGGACAGGGCTCACCATGCTTGTAAAAACCACACCCTGAGACATCCGTTCCAAGAACTTAGTGGATTAATTTCGTATGTGGATATTGCCCTCTGACTAAAGGCCTTTCACCTTCCTGACAAATCTGTCTCCACCCAGCAGCACTGGCTATCCCTGTATTTGTGTTGTGACAGAATATCAGACCCAGGCGCAAACTTCCCTTTTCTAGACTATATGCTAAGAACTGGTACTCTGCTGCAAAGACTTTAAAGGCTAATAGAAAGAAAAAAAGGACACAAATGCATGATAAAGAAGAGTTGCATGATTAGTAATCCACTCTCACTCATTCATAGGAACCCAATCTCTTCCACTTAACACAGAAACTGGAATTTTTATATTGTCCTTGCTATCAAACATCTTAAAGCGAGAAGGGAATCTCTAAGAACGGGAATCCCCGCCGCACAGGGTACATACACTGTGCCCAAAGCAAAAAGAGAAGTACCAGACTGAAAAAAAAATTCTCAAGCCCCAATCAGGAGTACTAAAGCCTTCCGTAATTCTTATGTAAACACAAACTCTGAAGGAAAAGCTCGACCCGCTCCTTCACCAGAGACCACTGCCGGGGGAGGGGGCCCTGGGGAGGCGGGAACAGCCGCTGGGGGCCGGAGGCAGACCCCGCCCAGCAGCCCCTTCCTTCT